CACTACAAGACACATCACTCATGGCTCCTTCAGCACATTTCATTCACCTGTGTAACCGCTATACAACCTGATCTTCACTATACACCTTCATCATACGTCTTAGCTATACAACTTGATCTTCATTCTATACCATGTTCACTATACACGATCTTCATTGTACACACCAGCTATAGAATCACAATGTCCACTATATTCGATATTCACTATAATGACCTTCATATTACACCCTAGCTATACAAAATCTTCACTATGGTACAATCTGTGGAAATGAACGAGCAGATGTGCTGGCTGCTGAAGGCGCTGAAGGAGACCATGTTGAATACTTCATGCCTAAAACTCTTCTACAAATTAGAGGTATTGTCAGGCAACATCACCGTGACAAGGTAACTGAGGAAAGGAGGATAGAAGCACAAATCAGTGAATCTGTACGATGGTACAGCATGGGTGCAGCTGGCAATCCCAATCATTATGGACGAAGGGGAAGTGCCGCAGGAGAGAACAGTAATAGCGAGAATCCGTCTTGGATACAAATATTCATGGAGATTCGGAATGGAAACAACAGTTGTGCAGCGGAGAATCTTCCATGTTTAATATTATTTGATACCTTTCTCGTCTTCTTTACAAAGAGAAAATTTTGATAGCTCTGAGACGGTCCCAATAATTTAGATGTTTTATCGTGTCTATGCGCGTCGTATATGTTCTCTATATTCCTTCTAATTCAGAGATCTCTCTTGTTCTGAAAGGGAAAGTGAGTACCGAGCAGTACTCAAGACGGGACAACACCAGTGATTTAAATAGTATTAGCATTGCTGTGGAGTCTCTGGATGTGAACGTTCTCATAATCCATCCTATCATTTTCCTGGCCGCCGCTATATTTGCTTAGTGATGTTCACTAAATGTCAGGTCGTCAGTCATCATAATTCCCAGGGGCCAGATTCACAAAAGCACTTACGCAAACACTTACGAACCTGTACATCTTTTCATAAACTTTGGCGGCTTTGTTTCCAATTATTAAACAGTTAATGAGCCCCGAAGCACCAGGAGGCTGTTTATAACAATAACAGCAGTTGAATGGGAAGTTATCATGCTTGTAAACTGTTTAATAGATGCAACCAAAGCCGTCAAAGATTGAGGAAAGTTGTTCACGTTCGTAAGTGCTTGCGTAAGTGCTTTCGTGAATCTGGCCCCAGGTCTTTTACATGTTGCTTTCCTTCTATGAATAGGTCTGATTGTGTCCTGTACCCTGTGTTTTGTTTAACTTCCTCGTTTCCACCATACCTAAGTACCTGGTCTGGAATATTTTCCACCAACATTATAGCATAATATGTTTTAGTAATGGTCTGTGAAAGCACATGGTCCAGCCATAGCTACTTATAAAGCAAGCCAAACTCTCTCGAGACAGAGATTGTCAAGTCAGCATATTACGATCATTTTGTGAATACCTCAAAAGGCCTCCATAAATGAATCCGTATCAGGATATGTAATTATATCTAACAGCTATAAGCATATCATTGTAATATGCCAAAATAAATTCATACACTTAATAAATAATTGTTTAGCCAAATACATTTGGTTAACAATAGTATAAATGGATAATTTAAACAGGCAAGGCAATGATGCTTGCTTTGAGTGGGTCGATCAGACGTTGGTACGACAGTAGTAAACACTCCGCCTCCAGACTAGGGAACTCCACTATGTTCAACCTGCTGTATTTGCATCTGTGGACCTGATTGGTGGTGTAAAGTGAACGTACAATGTGCAGAACAAGCAAGACATTCGGCTTAAAGTGACATAAGTGTGTCTTGCTACAGTGAGGAGTTTGAGGATATAACGATGCACAGCCGCATCACCTCCCTCCCTCACACAGTGAGGAGTGTGTGGACAGCGACACCACAGGCGTGTCACTCCCTCCCTCATAGAGTAAACAATACTCTGCCACAACAGCAAGACACTCTATTTTTAATAAGTTTTTTTTTTTATTTTATTTTTACATGCAGAGCATGCAAATTAAATACAATAAAAATACAGAATACATAAAGGAAAACAATAGACCACCGGCCAGAAGGGCCGACATCATAGCACAACAAAACACATACACAAGAAAAACATGAAAAATACAGCATACATCAAAGCACAAAACAGAATATAATGGCAATCCAGCAATCACAGTAACATCACAAAACAACACCTCCAGAAAAACAAAACATACATCAAGAGGCATAGCAGGAAACATAACAGTGCAAACACAATACTGTCCAAACAAAACATAAAGAACAAACACGTACAACAGGTAAAGCAACATAAAATCAATACATTAATAAAAAAAAAACACACCAAGTCATCCGCCCCGTAAACAAAAGGCGAGGCCAAAATAAACAATAACAATAAACACGCACACCTGAAAACAAAACAGGCGCAAACACAACAACTAGCCTGAAGGACCAAGAATGCAACAACAAAGCACATCACGAAACAAACAAATCAATACACATCCATACAAAGTCACAAAACACCGGCCTGAAGGGCCGACAACAAAAACAAAAGAAAAATACAACAAAACATCACAACACCACACCAAACACACAGCAAGCACACAGACTACGAAAAGATCTCATACTTGTCCGGCCACTCGTCCGCCGGGAAGCGAATACAATACGCCTCCCAAAGTAACATAATGTCCTCCGAAACATGGTCACTATTGAGCGTACGAGGATCAGGCATTAACTCTGGCACACCTACAATAAAACACTGAGCCCGACGAATCCAGATGGTAGAAGGGCACCACGGATCATGACGCACACGGTCAACAATTTTAAAACTCAACGGATGGTCAGCATCAATCGCCACTCCGGAGGCCAAGATGAGAGGGAGAGGCACCTTCCCATGAGGCCGGGCAATGGGCAGCACACTGGGAGCCTCCTCAGCTGCTTCACAGGGCCCCTCGTCAACCACCGAACGTTGTACCTGCTGGGACCCCCCACGCTTGGCATCCTTTTTCAGGCACCAGCTTGATGCCTCGGCTCGCACCAGGATCCACACCATCCACGCCTGTAGGAGCAACCACCTCCCACTGTGGAGAACCTTCTGCAGGAGAAAGAACAGGAGGTAAATTTGACGCACAACCATCGTCAACAGCTGACACATGGACATCAGCCACCACCAGCGTCGCAGAGCACAAAGCACCCGGAATCGCCACACCATCTCCCGAAGCTCCACCCGCGTCGTAGTCCTCCATATCAGCCCAAGCAGTAGAAGAGCGCCTAGAACGCTTGGGCACTAGCCGCACATCCTCACAGCCGGAGGCGGACCCAGAACCACGGCCCTCACGAACCGGGCGAACCAACGCCCGTCGCAGTACTGCAGCAGCCTCAACCACATAGGGAACCGGGCCGCACACAACAGGATGCTCCGCAGGCCCCCCAACACCCAGCACAGCCGTAACACCTGGCGAGGGTGCAGGACCAGCCACAGCAACAGGAGTCGAGGAAGACGCAGACGCACTCGGCTGAGGGACAACAAGCACCGGGGGCATGTCGGGTGACGCAGGGGGGGCCGCATCAGCAGCGACTGGGACCTGCTCCATTTCATCCCCGGAATCCACGCCCTGAGGGAGCGGCGGGAAATCCTCCTCCCGGAATAAGTTAACGGGTGCAGCAGGGGTCTCAGAGCACCCGGCAGCCTGATCCCCCAACTGGCCACACCGGAAACAAGTACGGGGCTGCCGGGCATAATACACCCGAACGTAGTAGCCCAGCAGCCGGACAGAAGATGGGATATCCGACCGCAGGCGCATACCTAATGTACGGACGTTCGTCTGCTTCCCAGCATACTTCCCCGAGGACAGCTTGTTCACCCGCACACTGATGACTACACCATACCTCCCGAAGAAGCGCCGGAGAAGGTCTTCAGGGAACTCCAGGGGCGCACCGTGCACACTGACATGTGTCAGGGCACCACTTCGGTCCGAGATCGTAACGGAGCCGGCGCCATCTGGCAACTGCAATGAACGCCCTTCGTTCCGCCGGAGGAAGTCCCGATACTCCTCCTCCCCCACGAACTTGACAATCACCCGGTGGGCCGTAACAAGCTCAACGCCATACAGAGTTTCCATCGGGACACGAAGCATGTCGCACATAACTAACTCAATGGCCGGATAACCAGCCTTACACGAGAATTCCAGGCTCACGGAATTTACCCGCAAAACAGGAGGAATGGCCAGGCCCCCCATGTCAAAACGGCCACGTCAGCACACAACAACACTGGACAGGGAGGGTAAGAGACCCCCACACCCCCTGCCGGTGAAAACTGCAACCTCCCCAAACTGCCGGAGTGGTCAGACGACACGTCTTCACCCTACAACTGCTCAGGTGGAACTCTATTTTTAATAAGAGAAACAAGTGTGTCTTGCCATAAAGGAGCAGTGAGAGAGTGAGAGTAGTGTGTGAGAACAACATCACCACAGCTGTGATGCCTCACTCCCTCACACAGTGTAAACATTACTCCTCCGCCATGAAGATACTCCAGGAAGTTCAAACTGCTTAATTGCCGCCGTATAACAACCGTGGACTGGATTGGTGGTGTCAACTGCACGTACAATGTGCCTAATAAGCAAGACACTCTGTTTAATGCGAAATAAGGGTGTGTCTTGCCAAAAAAAGTAAGAGGATTATGTGGATACACCAATGCCACAGCAGCGACGCCACACACCCTCCCACACTGTATATACAAACTCTGCCGCTACACAAGGACCGACCTAACAAATTCACAAAGACCTGAAAGGTGTAGCATCAAATATTATGATAGATATCGTGAGGAGACATTCACATATGGGACTAATAGAGCAAGAACCCAGCAATGTGATGTTATAGTGGCCAGAATACGCCTGGGATATAGACGTATCTGGCAGCTTTCTCAAAACCCAAATGTCGAGTACACAATGTGTCAACTTTGTGAAAGAGAAATCATACACTCTCTTGAACAGGAGTTCCACCTGCGCTGACGTGTCGCTTGACCGCTCCGGCAGTTTGGGGTAGTTGCCATTTTCGCCAGCAGGGGGTGTCTACCCTCCCTGCTGTTCCTGGTGGTGGGGACGTGGCGTGTTTTGCGATGGGCGGCCCTATTCCCGCTATCGTGCAGTTAAACTCCATCGGAATGGAGTTTACTGGCCGTGCTGGTTACCCGCTGGTGGACGTGGTATTGAGTGACATGCTTCGAGTCCCGGTTCGGGACGTATATGGTGTTGAGCTGGTCACTGCTCACCGTGTCATCATCAAGTTTGTGGGTGAGGAGGTGTACCGTGCTTTTCTACGCAGGTACGAGGGACGTACTTTGCAGCTGCAGGAAGGCTCCGGGTCTGTGACCATTTCGGACCGTAGTGGTGCTGTGACGTATGTCAGTGTTCATGGCGCCCCCATGGAGTTTCCTGAGTTTCTCCTCCAGCGATTCTTCCAGAGGTATGGCTCCATCATCAGTGTGCGGATGAGCTCACTTTCGTCTGGCACGTATTCGGGTGTGAAGACCAACATTCGGACCCTCGGGATGCGACTGAGGTCGGACATTCCGTCCTCTGTCCGGCTGTTGGGATACTACGTGCGGGTGTTTTATGCCGACAACCCCTACTTGCTTTCGGTGTAGCTTGTTGGGGCATCAGGCTGCCGGGTGTACTGCTGATCCGGTCGCTCCCGTGAACTTGTTCCATGAAGAGGATTTCCCGCCGCTCCCTCTGAAGGAGGACTCCGGGGATGAGGAGGTGAGCGTCCCGTTCGCTGCTGAGGCTCCCCCAGCATCTCCCAACATTCCCCCGGTTGTCACAGACCCTCCTCCGGGTGTTGCGGTGCCGTCAGATGTTCCTCCTGACCATGTCTCTGGCCCTGCCGATCCCGTGGACTTTCCTGGTACTCCCTGTGGGGCATCGCCGTCTGCTTCCTCGTCTTCGGATGCGGATCCTGGCCCTGCGTCCGCGCCTCGGGTCCCTGCTGTGCTGGGTGCTGGGGTGGCTGCGGAGCCTCCTGCTGTGTGTGGTCCGGTTCTTCCTGTGGTAGGCTGCTGCCGTTCTGCATCGGGCGTTGGTTCGTCCGGCTAGTGGTGCCCGTGCTTCTGGATCTGCTTCCGGCTCTGACGATATCCGGCCGGAGCCCAAACGTTCCAGGCGTTTGTCTACTGCCTGGGCTGATGTTGGGGACTTCAGTGACTGTGGGTCTTCAGGTATTGACGGCATGGCTCCGGATGAGTCGTTGTCTCCATGGTTGGTGGTGGCAGAGGTACATGTGCCTGCTTGGGCTGGTGCCTGTGTCTTGGGTGTGCCTCCTGTTCCTTCTCCGCCCGGGGGCTCTCCGCAGTGGGGTGTGGTGGCTTCCGGTGCCAGGGGTGGTGAGGATGCCGGTGCTAAGCGTGGCCTGGTGGTGACTTTGAGAAAGGATGCGCGCAGCCATGGTTCCCTGCAGTCGTCTGGTGGTGTGCCCGTGGCCGCTGGTGCCCCTGTGGTGGTGCCCTCTGTCCGGCCCCCTACTGTGGAGGACCTGGAGGCCTGGATTGCCAAGTTCCTGCTGTCTGAGAAGCCGGAGGACTTTTCTGATGAGCGGGTTCCAGGTGTATGGGATAGGGTGGCGGATACTCGCGTCCGGAGGGACACCATATGGGTTCCCTGTCTGCGAGTGTTTGTTGCTGGGGTTACGCTTCACATGGCGCCCCCGGTGGTGGGTAAAGCTTCCTGGGGGAGGTGGCTGATTTGGGAGGCGTTTAATGTGCGGTATCCCCATTCCCGGGCGCTTAAGTAAGCTGATTTTACTTTGACATGTATGTTATCCTTCTGCATTGCTCGCATGTGTTTTTATTCTTAGCTTGTTGTGTGCTGTGCGATTTTCTTGTTTTGTTTCATGATGTCCTTTATGTTGTGTTTTGTTCTCGGTCCTTCAGGCCGATGCGTGTTTGTTGTTGTTGTGTATGTACCTATGTTTATTTTCTGATTTGCATGGGTTGCTTGTTTATTATTGGTTTGTTGCGGGGCAGTTGGTTTGGTGTGGGTGTTTTTATTCATGTCTTGTTTCTGTGCTGTACGTTTGCACTGGTGTTTTAATTATTACTTTACATGTTGTCCTTGTTTATTTTTTTTTTTGTTGTGTATTGTCCTTATCCTGTTATGTTTTCTGTTATGCATCTTGTTGTTTGTTTTGTTTTATGATGTTTTGTTTTGAGATGTTACTGTGCTTGCTTGATTGTCAATTGTTTTCTATTTTGTGTCTTGATGTCTGTGTTTTTCACTGCATTTATTGTGTTTGTATTTTGTTGCACTGAGGTGTCGGCCCTTCAGGCCGGTGGTCTGTTGTTTTGTTGTGTTTTCTGTGTGTTTTCCCGTTTTTATTGTATTTAAATTGCATGCTTTGCATGTAAAAAAAAAAAAAAAAAAAACTTTGTGAAAGAGAAAACATGCACTCTCTTGAACATTATATTGTAGAATGTCCCATATTGACTGACTTTCGCCCTCCTGGGCTAAGGTATGCTGAACTCTGTAACTACTATATGAGTACTGGAACACTTGATGATATATTGGACTTGTACCCAAGATTGATCTTGTAATGAATCAATTATACAATGTATGTATGTGATGTAACTATATAACCTGAGCTTGTGAAAGCACCTTAATCACCTTCAGTGATTAAGTGCTTAATTGCACACTAGTTTCTCTATCAGCTATCTCACCCTGTCAGAGTAAGAGAGACAAATATATGTGAATGCATGTGTGTATATATGTATGTATATATGTATTTGAACGTATATGTGTGTGTGTATATGTATGTGTATAAAGAATATATGGAAGCTGATTAGAATTACATTTCACCTTTGTAAATGCACATTAATGACACTATGTAAAAGACACATCGAACACTTTATGTAGGGCATACGTAAATCTGTGTATCTATGTATTTACGTATGTAGGTTAGCTTAGCATTTTAAAAGCACCGAATCACCTTCTGTGGTTGAGTGTTCAATAAACCCTTGAACTATATGTTTAACACATCTCTAACCCTGTCCATGGAGGACAGAAGAAAATGTATATATGCTGATTAGCATTGTAACTGTGTGGCCACGTCTGTGGTAGAAAATAATAATAATAAAAAAAACTGGTCGGTGGTGTTAACTGCATATAAATGTGTATTAACACTAAGGCCCTCTATTTTAATGAACGAAGTGTGTGTCTTCCCATAAACTGTGAGTGGATTGTGATCAACACCAGACTCTCCCCCAACCAGAAGGCGTCGGAGTCTAGGTAACACCCTTCTAGCATCAGTAGTGAAGAACACTACAAGCTCAAGCCCTACAAGCAGGTTACGTCTTTTTACTAGAAGACAGAGGACTCTATACCTGCATTTTGATAAAATAAGGGACGGTTGGTGGTGTATTAATTAGAGATTGGATCCAATGACTTTTTGTGCCACTAACCCCATTAATACTGCAGGTGCGGTTATCACCATGAGCTTATGAGCTCACCTTAATAAGTGAATTACTTGAAATCAAATTAAAACAATATTAACTAAGTTAATCAGTGTTTGACAAATATTTGATATTTTGCAATTACTTAAAGGCAAAGTATACATTTGCAATAGATAAATTCATATTATTACATAATCTTGTTATTGTTTATAATTCATAGGTGGCAAGATGCCAGTTCAAAAGGATAGGCTAAAATAATTTGTAACCGTATCAGTGCTGGCTGCATTTATACATATTCACTTTTACCAAGTGGTAAATGTAGATTTTCCATTCAACAGGTAAATGAAAGGAGCCCCATTTCTGTTGGAAAAACTCCGAAAACTGAGCCAGTTGGGGAACCCAAAACAGATACAGTTCACTACCCCAAAACAGATACAGTTCACTACCCCAAAACAGATACAGTTCACTACCCCAAGAAAAAAACAACAGCTTCCTAGTGTCTAGTTAGTTCCTTATTTTAAGGAGTCGGTAGTTAAAGAAATTCCACACCTGGATTTTGTCACCGTTAAACATCGCCCAATTGAAGACATTGTTAATATCTGCCAGCAGTTTTTCGGTGTCTTCTACAGAGGAAATTTGCATGCTGATTTTTTATCATCTGCAAAGGATGGCACGAAGCTGTGACTAGTATTTCTGACTAATTCAGAGAAAAGAATGAGAAATAACAGTGGTGCCAGGAATGTGCCCTGAGGTACAATGCTTTTCACTGTACTTGGACTTGATCGTATTTGACTGACAGTCACTCTCTGCATTCTGTCTGACAGAAAAGCTCACAACAATAGCCTGTGAGGCTATGGGAGGCGCCCCACTATTGAGGCTTTGAGTCAATAGTGGGACGTTGAAAATCCAACGCCCCACTTTACTCGTTATTCCTATTGATCTCATTTTATGGGCTAACACACCATGTCACATGTACTTACCTAGTTGTGTTTGCGGGGGTTGAGCTCTGGCTCTTTGGTCCCGCCTCTCAACCGTCAATCAACAGGTGTACAGGTTCCTGAGCCTATCGGGCTCTATCATATCTACACTTGAAATTGTGAAAATGTGTCGACTGTCTGGTGTGTTTACCGGGGCCATGAGCGTCGTGCAGTCGGGGGAGGCGGGATGGTGCAAGATGCGAGGGCCTCGTCCCTGTAGTGACGTGGACATTAATCACCAGAGCCAGGGTCAACCCTCCCAGCCATCCCTGGTGAGTAATTGCCTCACACCATTACGTATCTCAGGCTGATTACCCCATGGGGGAGGGCATGGTAGTGATTACTTCAAGGGGGAAGGGGTGACTGACTACATCAAGGGGGTAGGGTATGGTAGTGATTACCCCAGGCAGAGGGCATGGCACTGATCACAGCTTACCCCAGGGGAAGGGGGGGGGCAGTGATCACAGCTTACCCCAGGGGGAAGGGGGGGGCAGTGATCACAGCTTACCCCAGGGGGAAGGGGGGGGGCAGTGATCACAGCTTACCCCAGGGGGAAGGGGGGGGGCAGTGATCACAGCCCCTCTACTCGTGAATGCTAATTACTGACTCATCAATCAGAGGCTAAGCCCAATA